CTGTTGTGTCGATTTGCTTATTTCCTGCCTCTTCTTCGCTCTCTCGTTCTCTGCACCCGCCTCTCTCTGTCTCTGTCCGTCTGTTATACAAAAATGATAGGACGACTGATTAGTCATCCAGCTGTAATTGAGGCAGAAGTTTGTAATGCTGATTTTACAGCGATACATTTTTACAAGACTTTTCAAGATTTTCATGACTTTTGCCAGACGTGCAAATGGGTAATGGGTAATGGATTGTTAACGTTTGGTTGTTATGTATGAAATATATGAATATCTTGATTTGATAAGGTTTAATGGTTATTTATTCAATATTTTAGGTTGATTGTGTCCTCTAAAAAGGCTGTAATAAGGTTTTAAAGTTAGAAACCTTGACATCGTCATTTTGTCAAACCCCTGTTTTGATGCATTTTGTTGCTGTGACTTTCTCAGTAAAAACCATTAAAGGCATTTGCATTCTGTAATGGGCTCACTATTTAGTAGATTTCACTGTTGGTGGTGGAGTCCGTCTTTCCAGCGCAGAATCCAGCACAAGGGATTGACAGGAAACTAAGGACAACCCACCAGTTTTGCCAGAGGAGGGGTCACCTTTCATCAGATTGTGGGTGGATATTTATCACAGTCCAGCTATTTGAAGAACAGCAGTACAGGGAGACCACACACGAGCAGCTAACAACAGTTTATTTTTAACTAAAAGAGAAAAGAGAGTACCTAAATTAAACCAAACTGAACAATGTGGTATACTGAACAAAACCCAAATGTAACCAAACCCAAACAAACAGTGGAAGCCAGTGTGGAGACAAAAATTCCATTTTCAGACATGGAATCTGAAACATTTCTGGCTTAATCTAACACTAGATGTAACAGGAAGTCAGACCAGGTGAGCCGAATTCTACCTGATGACCTGATTCTAAATAAAGGGGAAGCCTGTCCACAGAGGCTCGCCACAAGGTATTTCCCTTTTTAAATGACCCTCCTTGTGTATATGTAGCCTGGTGGCAGAGCTCTGAATGGTTGCACCTCAAATATAGTGGTCCCTGTAGGCCATTGTGTTACCACTATCGGGCTGCCTCATGTGGAATAGTTTATTCTCAACAAAGTAACATTGCCATGATTCTACTGTAGCCATGTCTATATAATATTGGAATAAAATCAACAAGTAAGTTAAATATGAAATGTTTTTTATATATAACTTCAAGAAAAAGTTGGCACAGACACAAACTGAAATTGTCCTTCACTAAGACCACTGACGAGTGTCAGTGTGACCTGCTAATTCCTATGACATCTGCTACTCATCCTCTCCCACTTAGACAAAGTAGATAATCTTCAGACACAATGGACAATCTAATCAAGTGGAATTTTTGGGAATCCTGTGCACTAACTGACATTGTTTCATTCGATAATCATATTCACATGGCTTATGGCGCATAGGTCACATGGCCTATTCACTGGAGAAATCAGCACAGTTATTGCATGTCCAGAAATCCTCCAAGAAGACAGATGTATAACTTGAGACTTATGAAACAGTGACTCATTTAATCTGTAATACATCCAACTGTTCCAACAGTTCACTCTTCGCTGATTTGCAGCGCTGCCAGTGAGCTCAGTGTTGCCAGGCGGAGAGAGAAAAGAATAATGGCCCTCATTTCACCTTTTCTTCGCTATGCATGGGTTCACCACTGGAGGAGGATTTTACTTTCTGTCTGAGTCTCAGACGAAGATATAAAAGGCCTAAAAGGACCATTCACTGTAAAAGTAATGGCCCAGAGCAGAGTTGTCTGATGTTAGTGTCTTGTGTTTTTCCATTAGATGCTAAATTTCCAATAATATTAAGACAAATGTTTAGCAGGAGTATTGAGTGTCTTTTGCAAATTTGTAGAGTACTAACATATTCTCAGATAGAAGTAAAAACACTGGTATAAAGCTTAGAAGTATTACATTCTGAATATTACTAAAACAAAATGTTTTCAATTGAAAGAGATTGCTTTTATAATAAAAGAAAAATACACAAAAGAGTATAAGAAATTCAGTCACTGCACACATTCTGACACAATGCTGATGGAAAGAAAAGTTAATATACTGTAATAGGCTACAAAAGAAATTAAAACATAGCAAATTTTAAAATAGATAGAACTAATGGGAATGTTTATATCAGCTTCTTCTTCCAACTTTATATCTAAATAAAATGAAAAAGCACCTGTCAACCTTGATACTGTGAATTTAAATTAATAGACCCTAGTTGCTATGGGCTACAATTATTTTTTTGTGTTAATGTGCATGCTGTGAAGGCTTGCTCGGTCTAGTGCATCTCAGAAGAGGATTAACATCGCCATCTGTTGATGTAACGGAGCCATTACAGCTGTAAACTAAAGCCACTGAGACACACACAGTACTTGCTGAATCCTTGTTCAGTGTGTTTCTCAAAAATGTAATTACAGATCCAAGTGATTGTATTGGACGTGCCTTAAAATGGACCAAATCACTTCATTTTTAACTTTTCTCCTTATCATCAGTGCCAGTAGTTGGCACCAATTGGATACAGGGAGTAGCCAGGTCTGTAAGAGTAAACCGTTCATGATGGTTTGTCCAATTATTCCTCCAGCTAATCCTCCTCCAGTGTTAACAAGGCACAGCAGGACATCGGTTCAGGATGATCAGCCTAGCTAAGACACTGCCAATCACAGCTCCCATCCCCACAGTGCTGGACTGTGGACAGAGTGTGCTTAGCTGCTAATGAAGACCCTAGCAGCTGCTGGCTAGTGATAAGGAAGGGGAGACCTTCAAAGACTCAAATATATATCATTATAGCCAGTGAGCTACCCAAAGAGCCAGCTGGGGGTGAGGAGCACTCACAGGCTAGGACTTACTGTGGTTTGCAGAACTCACAGTAATGAAAGGAGGAATAGGGACTGCACGAGAG